GCAGCTCGCAGCATCGCGCCAGTGCGCGTTCAGTGCGACGAGCTGGCAGGAATCGGGGTATGGGGTACGGGGGCAGAGGGGCATCCTTGGAGCCAAGCACCCGTGTTCCCTTCCCTGCCAGGCCCCAGCAGCCCTTTGCACGTGTGCTCACGCGTGTGCAAGCTGTAGCAGCATCAGTCCCCGTCCAGCTTGGCTCCAGTGGTCCTTGCTTGCAGGGTCCCCTGGGCTGTCCCTGCCTGTGTGACAGTTTTGGAGCTGGGGGTGGGGGGACACACACCTTGCACCGCTCACCTGCATCCACGGCTGATGCTCACACCCACTTCTGCAAGGTGCTGCGGCAATGGCGGGGTCTAGAGCATGCAGAGCCGCGCACACGGACTGAAGTGAAGTGGCCAAGTGCTGCGTGGCAGCTGCAGCCATCCTGATGTCCCTCGGGAGCCAACGGTGCTGGTAAATCACTGCCCCTTCTCTCCCGCAGATAGGTAGGGCAGAGCCTGTGAGGGAGAGGAGGAGAGGCAGACGATGCCTGGGGTGTCCCAGGGGAGCAAGGAGGGGTGAATCCTGCGTTCATCCCCAGGTTTACCTGTGCCTGCTCCCATCATTGCCCAAGAACAGCGGTGCAGGGAAGCTGAGAGCCCTCTGTGTTTTCTTCAAGCCCTTTCCCCGCCAGCACCCATCCCCATCCCCATCCCCATCCCTGTCCCCATCCCCTGCCCCACAGGCACATCAGGGCTGAGCCGTGCCCTCACCTATGCCGAACCCTTCACCTCTCCCTCCGGCTTCTTGTCTTCCCAGGGGCGCTTTCTCCATCGTCCGGAGATGCGTGAAGGTGTTGGCAGGACAAGAGTACGCGGCCAAGATCATCAACACCAAGAAGCTGTCTGCTCGAGGTAGGGGCTGGGGATGTTTTTGGGGAGGTGAGAAGCAAGCAGGGTTTGCGGAGTGGGGAATTTGTCCCCTCTGCACGGCGCTGGGGTGATGACTTCGATGTGCGGCGAGGCAGGCAGTGTTTGATGTGCGGTGAGGGACCTCCTTATCCCATCCTGACTCCACTGCGCTACACACTGAGCTCCTTGATGGATGGGGCAAACTTCCAGAGGAGACGTCTCGGTGGCTGCTCACCGTATCCCATCCAATCACAGGGATGCACCAACGGCCCGGCTGGGCCAGGGCTCTGGAGCGCTCCCGAATCCCAACCTGCACAGAAGTGGGACCCCACTTCTCTCCCTGAGACACCACCACCACCCTCTGCACCATCTTGCGGCAAAACGGTGCTTACAGCCTTGCAGCAAGTCAAACTGCTGCCAGCCTCGGGCACTGGGTAGCAGTTATTTTGGGAGCATCACCTTCCCTGAGAGGGTGCGCACTGACCCCCCCGTCACTATTCTCAGGGGCTGCGGGTTTCCTCACTCACATACCTACATCAGGGAAACGGGAAGATCCTTCAAGTGGGGGGTTGATGTCATTTCTACCTGGAGCCGGGCCCACACCCCTCGCTGCCATCTAATTAATTGCTCCGGTGGAGCACGTTGGCTGCTTTCTTGCTGGAAGAGGCGCTGGCAGGTCTGTCCTGGCTGCTCCTGGGGACAAGGCTGAGCTGAGCCAGCACAGAAGAGCTTCAGCCAGCCCCTGCCCCGGGGCAGGGACCCCTCTGCCCCTAGGGCATCTGGCAGAGGAGCTGCGATGAGGAGGATGGAGAGGATGGCACAGCAGCTCCCGTGTCCCTGGCTCTGGCTCCTGCTGGCCGGGTGCATTGAGGAATGCAGGATGGGTGCCGGGAGCGGGCGCCCTGCCGGGAGGGTTTAATTAACTCCCTCCCTCAGTTTCTCTCCCTGACGCCACTGCTCACCTCCAAAGGCAAAAATGAACCGCAGAAAACGGTGACAAACTCCTTTCTGACCTCAAATCAAACCAGTGCTGTGCAATCTCCATCCCACAGCGCTGCCAAAGTGGCACAGCGCTGACACTGAGCTCTCCCAGCTGCTCCCCTCTTTGGGGAGGTGGACCATCCCCTTCCTCCGAGGCCAAAGGCTCCCAGCCCGGGGCTGCCGGCCGGGCTCCGGGCTGGGTGTGCGGTGCTGGTCTCAGCGTTTGGCTCCTGGCTGCGTACCCCAGCTGGCAGCGGGGTGGGCAGAAACGCCTCCTGGTTTGCAGGGCTGCCTGGAGGAGCAGATTGAGCCGCCTTCCCTCCACTCCCCCTCTGCCTCCGCTCGCCTGCTCCGGCAGTGTGCCCCTCTCCATCCTCTTCTCTTGAACCCCCCCCCCCTATTTCTGCAGTGCTAGCACGGGGGCGGGGGCACTGCCCAGGCTCGGAGCAATCCCCAAAGGGACATATCCCCCCCAGGATGTGCCACCGGCTGTGTCACGCGTGAAAAACAGGAGGGCGGATGTGCAAGGAGGAGAGGGGTGGGGAGAAGGTGAGAGGAGCTGCAAAACATCCTCAGCCATGGTCTCTTCAGACATCCTCCCAGCTGCCGGCATGGGGAGCCAGCAGGAGAGAAACTGGAGTTTTTGGAGGAGAAATGGGTTTTGGGTCCAGGCAGCAGCTGGATTTGTGGGGCAGGAGAGGGGCTGTGGCCGCAGCTCGCTGCCCCCAGCAGCACTTCACAGCGTGGTGGACGTGCCATGCCATGCCGGTGGGAAGATGCTCTGACCCACAGCAGCCGCCCTCTCCCCCCAGCCCGGCTCAGCATGGTCCCTCTGCCTGAGGGACATCCCCCTGTCCCTCTGTCCTTCTGTCCGTCTGTCCCTCTGCCCCGCTGCCCTTGCACAGCCATCCCACCCATGTACAAAGCCCCCTGCAAGCCCTGTCCCGGGGATGTGCCCAGCCAGGGGGGTCTGCTGCCAGCCTGCGGCCCCGTGTAGGAGTTGTACCCACGTGATGCTCGGAGGAAACAGCAGACCTGGAGACCCAACCCCGCACCCAGCCCGTCCTTGCCGTGTGCTGACAGCAGGGATGCTCTGCCCGAGTGGGACCCATGCAGCCTCGGAAAGAGCAGAGCCCCCAGAGCACACACTGCCTTCGCTCCCTGGGCGGCGGGCGGCTCATTTCGGGCAGCTCTCCCCTTTGCGTTTCGCAGCTGAGCTCGTGGCCCTAAGGGAAGCGATGGCCACGCTCCCCCGGCACCTTTCCTACCAGGTGCTGGCACGCCGCGGTGTGCCGAGGGGAAGAGCCGGGGTTACCCGGGGCTGTGTCTCAGGGCGCTGCAGCCTCACGAGCGCGGCAGCCTCCTCCGCACCCGCACGGCTTTGCCCTTCGAGGACCAGCTGGATGCAGCGGGGTTTGCCCTGCCGAGGCATCACTGCTGAGGTCCCTGGGCAGGGGTCCCCAGCCCTCACCCCGCAGGGATAAACACCTTTCCCAGCTCCTCCTGGGAGCCTCTGGGTCCCCGCTGCTCTCCCTTTCCCCTTCAGAGGGACCCTGTCTCTCCACCCCCTTTAAACTCCCTGATCCATTTTCCATTTCCCCCTGCTTTTTGCTGGTCTCCCACCCCCTCCCCGTGCTGTTTGGGGGTTTATCGAGCCTCACCAGCCTCCTGGTGCTCCCCGCCGAGC